GCCAACATGCCAAGGACAGCAGAGCAGAGAGAACAAAACATGGGTAAACTCGTGTGAAGTTGTGATTTATAACAGGAAACAAATATTTGGTCTTCCTCCCATTCCTGGCACAGCGATCCTAAAACCCCTGGAATTTCCTGTGATGAGAGTGACAAAGGTGTTTTTTGTTACGTCAGTGACATGACTTTTGGATCACCTAGGGATGGGGACTGGGTGCCAGGGGAACCAACCAGAAATAGAGTTTGGAACTTTCAATCCCACCCCCTGATTTCTGAGGAGTGGGGAAGGGCTAGAGGTTGAATCAATCATCAATGGCCAATGATTGAATCAATCATACCTATGTAATGAAGCCTCCATAAAAACCCAAAAGGAGGGGATTCAAGGAGCTTCCAGGTTGGTGAACCTGGAACTATGTACTACAGTGCCAGGCCCCAACTTCCACAGGGACAGAAGCTCCTTTATCCAGGACCTCCCACGCATGTTCTCAACTGGCTGTTGACTTATATCCTCTACAATCCTTCAGAATAAACTTGTAATCTAGTGAGTAAACTGGTTTCCTGAGTTCTGTGAGCCATTCTAACAGATTTATTGAACCCAAGGAGTGGGGTCATGGGAACCTGTGACCGACAGCCATATGGTCAGAAGCATAGGGAACAACCTGGACTCCTGCCTGGCATCTGAAGCGAAGGGCCATCTTGGGACTGAGCCCTTAACTTATGGTATCTGATGCTATCTCCAGGTAGATAGAGTCAGAATTGAGTTGAACTCTAGAGCATCCAGCTGGCATCAAAGAATTGCTTGGTGGTGTAGGGGGAAAAAAATCTACACATCAGAATTGGTACCACAATCCTGAACTTCTCACTGGGGAACTGATACACCAAACTTGAAACAACCTTCCTCCAGGCTTCTTGTTATGCAAGATAAGTAAGTGTTGAACTTTAAACCCATGGTTAATCAGTGTTGGGGCAATGTCCATTTTCCTGGCCTCATGTTCCATGTGGAAGGACTTTAGCCAGAGTCTCACTCTGGCTGCTCAATCAGACAAGTGACTTACAGGCGGATTTAGCAGAAAGGACTGAGCTCCTTCACCTCAGCCCCCTTCTTATCCCATCTGAAACCATCCGCTACATAGAGGTATACTTTGATTTTCTCTCTATGATTTAGCAAGGTTAGTGGGGCTGACCCTGCTCTCATTGAGAGGGCCTGGGCTGCCAATGACTAGAAGAGACAGAATTTCTAAAATGGCCCATGAAAATATCCCACCCTAATCCCCAGGACTTCTGCTATAGTGAGCTATCACTCCCACGACTATGATATATCATATGGCACAGTTGACCTTAAGAGAGGGAAATTATTCCTGTGAGCCTGATCAAATCATATGAGCCCTTAAAAGCAGGGCACTTTCTCAGGCTGGTGGCAGAGGAACAAAGGGAAGTCCGAGAGATACAAAACACCAGAAGAATTCCATGTTGGCTTTAAATATGGAAGGGCCATATGCCAAGGAATTCAGACATCTCCTAGAAGCTGAGCATGGATGACCTCCACCTGACAACTGGGAAGGACACAGGAATCTCAGTCAGTCCTATGACCAGTGGCAACTGATTTTTGCCAAAATCTGAATGAGTTTGGAAGCAGATTCTTCCCCAGATCCAGAGCCCAACCCAGCCAACACCTTCATTTCAGCCCCATGCTATGCTGAGCACAGCACCCAGACAAGCCCGCCTGGACTCTGACCTAGAGAACTGTGATACAATAAATGGATGTTGCTTGAAGCTTCTGCACTTGTGATAACCTGTTACACATCAGTAGAAAACTAATACAGCAGGGAAGTCCTTCTGATTCAGGGTGAAGTGGTTAACAAGTCTTTTTGGCATCAAAACCAAAGCTAGGGCACCTGGGTGACTCGGTCAGTTAAGCATCTGCCTTCAGCTCAGGTTATGATCTCTGGGTCCTGGGATGGAGCCCTGCATCAGGCTTCCTGCTCCTTTCTCAGTCTGCTTCTTCCTCTCTCTCTGTACCTCCACTTATGCTCACTCTCTCTCTCTCAAGCAAATAAATAAAATCTTTAAAAAAAAAAAAGCTACATCCTCTGATCAGCTTATCAGCAATAAAGCTGACATCTTAATCTTCATCTGACTCCCATGTCTATTTCTCAATTATTTCTGATTTCAGAAGGGGAAAAAAGGGAAGGGAAAAAAGGTTTTATTTATTCACCCAATATAAACCCCAACAGGCAGATATTGTATTACTCTGCAGCCAAAAGCATCCCTAAATAATACATTAACCTTCAGCAACTCAACCCAAGCTCAGGCCTGGGATGTGGTAGAAAGATCAAAATCATGTGACCTCAGAACACAGGCATCCAGAAGGCTTATTTTATATTTTATCTTTACATCAAAAATCGTCTCTTCCTTACACCTGAAAGAAAACAAAGCAGATGAAGAAAAAGACTTAATCCTTGAATGGGTGGGGGGGGGGGAAATGTACCCTCCCCACAGGAACTAAAAATCCATAACCCCCAACTTCGTTGGTTTATAAAATTTTCAATTTTCAAGTAATCACCTAAGAATAGCTGGCCTTTGAGATGTCGTTTAAATGAGTGGCAAAGTGCTTTGAGATTTTCCACCAAAACTACAGGCAGCCAGTGAAGTGCAGATGGGTTGTTTGTGTATTCAGGAAGTGCGCTTCTACTCCTCCTGGAATTCAGTCACCCCTTCCAACTGCACCCTCCTCCAACACTCTGCAAATGCATACATCTCAGGCTGCCAATTTGATAATATACTGCTATTTCCTTCCTAAAAGACTCCCAGTCTTTGATGGCGCTGCAAGGAATTGAGTGCGCCATCAGCATAAAAATGAAACGCAAGGTTTTTAAGGCTCTGTCCCAGAGTCCTTTGAACCATCCATCTGAGAGGCAGCTTTAAGGGAAGGAGATGAGTACTCCTTCCCTTAAAATTAGTTTGAAATTCATTAGGGGAAACTAAGTGCCCAAATTCAGTAGCAGATGTGGTCACAATGACTGCAATCGCTTCCTTCATTTAGAATATAGTAACTAATTTTTTTTTTTTTCCTAAACGGGGTACTTCAAAAGCTTTTAATGCAACCCTTTCTTTCTACAAATAAGGAAACTGAGATCTAGAGCAGCTACATAAAATTTAAAATGCTGGAGCAGTCATTTCTCCATTTGAATCCTGTTCTTCTGAGTGTTCAATCCTCTCTACCTTGGAGGGCCATGAGGCCCTGGCTAACAGGGCACCTCCGAGAAGCTCAAAGCAGCTCTCGGAGACGGGTTTGGAGACGGAGACTTGCTATGTCTGGTTTAGGGAAACCTAAACATCTGAGAAGCAGAGAAGCTGAGCTCTGACGGTTTCCATGGTGACCACTGAGCCCAAGTGCATGCTCTAATGAGCCAGCTGGGCAAGCCAGCACCTGGGAGCAAAGGTTGTGGGACATTCCAGGAACATCCACGCGCCGCTGAGCTCCTCAATTGAAATCTGAATGGGTGGCTAGGCTGCTAATAAGGGCTTCTTTTGGGAGACAGATACACAGCAGATCTGAATGAACTCTATATGTCTGGCCCTGTGCCAAGATCTCTTCCACACATTATTTCATTTAATCATCACCAAAACCTTCTAAAGTGGATTCGAATTCTACCCTCCTCTTTCTCACCAATGAGTAAACTGAGGCCACTCACCCAGGATCACTGAGCTCATAAAAGGCAGCTCTAAGCTAATTCTCCTGCTCCATTCTTCCACGCCGGCAAACCTGAAACCGCTCACCTGGGGAGCTCCCCTGTCTTTTTCTAAAGAGAATTCATGATTTCTTGTCTCAGAGAGAAAAACAAGTGCACATTAGAACTCACCACTGATCTATCTTTGCCCATCATTGCCAGATTCTGAAAAGGTCTCAAAGTGCCATTTTTAAAAATTAAGTCATCATCAGAAACAACTCCCTGAAGAAGGTTTGAAAGACTCAAGAACGAGGTCAATAATGAAAAATAGAGCAGAAACGATGTTACACCTGAGTCAAACAAGCTTTCTGTGAGATCGTATGAATAAGTGTTAAAGGGCATTGAGAACCCCAAGCCAATCACATCTGCTCTACAACCTGTCGCTGAGGCTAGGAATGCCATCTTCAGTAAATAAATTCCTTGAGTTGAGTTTTTGTCCCTTGGTTAAAGATAAGTATTCTCAGGAAGAAAAAAACCCACAAGATATTGGCAATCATCAACACCTTAGTATAAATTAGTACATCAGTGTACTATTGCTGAGAGAGCACTCAGAAGTGAGAGGACAGAGAGGGTGGGGCCTTGAAGAGATGGATACAAAGCACAATGCAGTATCTGGAAAAGGCAGGCTTCTGGAAGAGGTCCTAGAAGCCAGGATCAGCCTAAAGACACTGGACTTGGAAATAAAAAGGAATGAAGAGGGGCGCCTGGGTGGCTCAGTTGGTTAAGCGACTGCCTTCGGCTCAGGTCATGATCCTGGAGTCCCAGGATCGAGTCCCGCATCGGGCTCCCTGCTCAGCAGGGAGTCTGCTTCTCTCTCTGACCCTCTTCCCTCTCATGCTCTCTATCTCTCATTCTCTCTCTCTCAAATAAATAAAATCTTTAAAAAAAAAAAGGAATGAAGAATTTCCAATAACAAAACAAACTTCTCTACTTTATTGCAAATACACTTAGAAACCCATCTTCCATCCTTAAGATGGAACTGAATATGCCTCCCATCTTTAGAAAATCTTGTTTTGGCACACCTATACTTAACCCTCTTGTGTTGTGATTCCAGAAATAACACTGTAAAGAAGGAAACCGATAAAGAGAAGTTTAGGCACAGTACTTGCGACTACCATTGGCCAAAACAGAAAATAGGATTATAACATTAAACTCTTCCATTAAAAGTGACAATGATATGGTAACACCGTAATCATTCCTTCTGGATCCCATCAGGCTAAAAAGCCAGTTGGACCACAGAGTTTAGGGTTTAAATAGATGCAGTACTCACTCGAAAGACCTTCTCCACTCTTGCAATGCTCTTCCCAAAGATGGTTCCAAGTTGGTCTCCAATTCCCGCCAATAAGAAACCAAAGAGCGGAATTCCAAAGATGGCATATAAAATACAAAAGATTTTGCCTCCTTCGGTGCTTGGAGCAATATTCCCATACCCTGGTGAGAAATAGTAAAAAGAGAGAGGGAGAGTGGTGAGGTGGTAGAGAAATCAGAGAGCTGAACAAAAGAATCCACAGATTTCTTGAAAGGTTTCTGTGCTCCCCCACTGCATGAGCTTCCGGGAGCAGAGCATCATCAAAAATCTAACATTCAGAACATTGTTCCATTACTTCTCTCCCTTCTCTCCCTGAGAACAGTTTTAAGGAGTTCCAGCCTTCCTGGATCTTAATGTGTTTAATTAGATTACATTTTAGGAAATTCGTAGTCACCCAGAATTGCATTGCTGATGAAAACCAGTATCATCGATTTCAGAAACACCAAATATCTTGGTTCAGGGCTTCAGGAGACCTGAAGATCCAAGGAGGGTTCACCACTGCCCTTTTTAGACTGGAAAAGAGCTTCTCCTTTACAGTCTCTTCCCAGGAACATCCCCTCCACTTGACAGACTGGCTGTCTTCAACATTTGGCTCTATAGGGTGATGGGTGCTCCACAGGATATGTGGTCTAACACAAATTCAGAAAGGACTCATGAATCATACAGCCCTACCCTGAGAAGCCTGAAAACAGAAGAGCAGGGAAGGAAAACGGTGCCTTTTCCCGCATTGACAGTGATGTTTAGCTCTACTTGGCTCTTTTTCTCTTTACTAGGAACTTTGCTTCGAGTCTGGGTCCTGCCTCTCTTCCCACCGGCTTCTTTCATCAAGGGCTATCAGGCACTAAATATATGTTTATTGGTGGAATGGATGTTTGAATATAAAAGAATCTTTTTATAGCCGTGTCTATGATATGTATTTCAAATAGTGCTTGAAAACACCAACATCTGCATTCTTAAGAATTCTGCAATTATGTAAGTAACTTCTGTATAGTGAGCAGTGGGCTTCCTCTATACGGATGGGGCTAACGGAAGCAGTGCTGGGGAAAAAAGGCTATGGTATTGGCATGATATATAGAGAAATGAGAATCTAAATTGCTTGATATTCAGTTTGATGCCAGTGAGTACTGCAATGCTAACTAGCATCTGGATAGTCACCCAACTGTTCTCCCATATTAGGGTAACTCACGTGGGGCCTGTTTCTAAATCCATGCGATGAGTGAGTTACTGGGTTCAAGGCTGTGAGCATGTTAGGGATGCGGCACAGCCAAGGCCAATGTCGATACTGCCCCATCCCGAACCTCCGATGAGCCTAGAAAACTCTCGCGGCTGCTGTCTGCTTTTGGGTGATGAGTCACCTGGCTATTTTCCTTTTCAATTTTCTTGTCAGAATCATTCAAACCTTTTATCATGAATTATCTAAATTACAGTTTCCATTTCTCAAATGAGTGTTCAGGCAAGCCTTCCTCATCTTACATTCCTTTTACTCAGCACCGTTTTCACTTAATTGTGCAAAAGAGACTCTTGGAACTCTTTTCAGGTGCTTTCAGGAACTTGGACAAAACCATTTTTCTAGGGGCGCCCGGGTGGCTCAGTCGGTTAAGCATCTGCCTTCGGCTCAGATCATGATCCCAGGGTCCTGGGATCGAGCCCCATGTCAGCCTCCCTGCTCAGCAGGGAATCTGCTTCTCCGTCTCCCTTGCACTCTCCCCTGCTCATGCTCGCTCTCCCTCTCTCTCTCGAATGAATAAATAAATCTTTAAAAAAAACCATTTTTCTAAGTGTTGCCCTCTAGAATAATCTGAGTGACGCTGAAAAGGGAATAAGTGCCTACACAGCTTCACTTCACACAGGTCGATGGAGACCTACGGAAACATCTATGACTCTTGCTTGACTGTCTCAGAGTTGCCTGATCACTGTGAGGGAAGGTAGGTTTTCTTTCGTCTCAATATCTCAGAAGGAAACATGTTGTAGACACAGCACAGGCAAACAAATTGCTGAATAGGCATCTCATTAGCCCCAACAAGAGGTGCACACTCTTCCCCCAGCTTTTGGTGAGGACCTGCCCCACTGCCTGGGTAAGGACTGTATTCAGGGAATTTCCTGGTGTCATCCAAGGGGCATGACAAAGAAGAGAGAAGACAGAAGGTCCAGATCCAATTCCACCTCACTCCACCTGCTTGTCCCCAGAGTCACTTAACCTCCACAGATCCCAGCCTTAGAGGGGTTTGAGGATCATGTGGAAAAATCAGTGAACTGTAAAGGACCATACAAATGCAAAGTAGTATTACTACTAGCAGTATTTTACTACAATTGGCTTCTTATTTATTCAGTGTTTCACAGACTAGAACACTAAGATAAAGTTAAAGCAAAGCTCTTGGGTAAGGACACCAGTGAAGTAAAATCCACTAATATTCAAATAAATCTTTAAATATATTTAAGGCCATCACTTCATACTGGGCATAAGGTAATTGCCATTCTTGAGTAACGCTGTGTTTGTGCATTGTGTGTGTGTGTGTACACGTGTGTGTATGTGTGTGTGTGTCCCTTGCCTCTGATGAACTGTATGGAAAAGCCGTCCCAGTGGACCCCTCGACCCTGTCATTCTAGACTTTTAACATTTTGGAGCTTTGCTCTGAGGCAATGGGAGGGCCACATGCCTGGATACTTGGCTCTACTTTACCGAGCCTGTTAGACTGCTCTGCCCATCCATCAAGGATCCTTGGCAGAACGTTGAAGGAGGGGGTGGTGGTCATATAGGCTCACGACTGGAGACTGCAGGGCTTCCTGTTCTGACGCTTCCACTTCCTGACTCTCGGATCTTGAGGATTTCCCTCCCTAACCTTTCTGCCTCACTCTCCTCCTCTGACATGGGGCTAAAGATAGCACCTGCCTTTTGCTATTAAAGATGAAATGAGGAGCGCCTGGGTGGCTCAGGCGGTTAGGCGCTGACTCTTGGTTTCAGCTCAGGTCGTGATCTCAGGGTCATGGAATCAAGCCCCACCACGTCAGGCTCCGCGATCAGTAAGGAGTTTGCTTGGGATTCTCTCTCTCCCTCTCCCTCTACCCCTCCCCCCCCCCAAAAAAACACACAAAAAAATCTTCAGAAAAAAAAAAAAAAAAAAGATGGAATGGGTTACATGCGAAGTATGAGTTGCCCGTGGAGATTAAATACATGTAAATCATGACGCAAATCATGACACAATACTTGGTAAGTATTAGCAATTATCATCTTGCCCAGGGTTTTCTGTAGGAAGGAATCACTTCTGAGCAATATGTCTCCAGGAAAACTAAGCCCCAGGAGAAAACAGATGGTTGGTTCCTGTCTTCCCTCTGGAAACTCCGCTGTTCTCCCACAGTGCCAAGCCAAGGAACAGAATGTCTGTACCACCAGTGGGGCCGGCTCCACGATTTGGATGGGCCCACCGTTGCATTTGGGGTGTGGGCGTCTCTCAGTGCGGCTAGGGGCAGCAACATCTGGGAAATGAGATGGGGCGACATGGCAGTGAGAAAGGCAATTGGTCAGGGAGAACTAGCCTAGAACATGAAAACTGGCTTTAAGGAAAGCAAAAGAAGTCGAAAGAGTGACTTTTGGCCAGAGTGGACCAGCCCGGCAAGGAGTGTCTGTTATGAATGAGAAGGACCACGGCAGGGCTTCGCTGTGTTTACCTTTGGCCAGAAAACAGTTCCAGGCCCTTTTTGAAGAGAAAGCTGGTGTTTAAAGAAGGCTGCCTGGGTGCCTGGGTGGCTCAGTCGTTAAGCGTCTGCTTCAGCTCAGGTCGTGACCCCAGGGTCCTGGGATCGAGCCCCGCATCGGGCTCCCTGCTCTGCGGGAAGCCTGCTTCTCCCTCTCCCACTCCCCCTGCTTGTGTTTCCTCTCTCGCTGTGTCTCTCTCTGTCACATAAATAAATAAAACCATAAAAAAAAAAAAGAAGGCTGCCTGAGTAGCTCATGTGTAACACTTCCATTTGCCATTTACATTCCAAAGCCAGACCTCTGCCAAACCACGTGCTGTTCAACCCTGTTATCTGGTTAAGAGTGTGTGTTTTAGACCCAGAATGTCTATGTGTGCTAAACCGGCTTTCTGGGGGTGAAATCTGTGCACCCACGCTAAGAAGGGCCCTGTGCTTGGTTTATTGATCTGCTGTTGCCATTTTGACGTTCTTAATCATTTTTTAGCAAGGGACCACATTTTCATTTTGCGCCGGGCCCTACACATTATGTAGCTGATCCTGGTGAATGTGGCTAGGCTCCACTCCTTACCTGCCGTGAGATATTGGCCAAGTTACTTGATATCTTGGAGCCTCCATTTTCTCATCGGTCAGCTGAGGTTAATAACAGTACCGACTGGATATGCTTAATGCGAGACTAAGATAATCACATGGAGCCCAGTGCCTGGCACCTAGTGAGCACTCAGTAAATGTTAGCCCCAATGACAGCTATCTCCAAAGCCACAGGTTAGCACCCAGTTCAGGTGCTGTGTAAGTAGAAATAGCTGCTCAGGTACTTTGGCAGGTACAACTCCTAATTAAGGCCACCGGGCAAGTGACAGTTACTAGCTACTGTCTGGGACCTGACCAGGTGCTCTCTCTGATATGAGTAGAGTCAGATGATTCAATCCGAAAATGTCTCAAAGACTAAAATCTACTAGCATTCCATAGCTGTTGATGAGAATGCCATCATTTGTTGCCCTTACAAATAATGGCTTGTGCGAAAGCATTTGAACAAAGAAGTGAGCATCATTCCTCCAGCTTAGAAACCCTAGTTGGTGGGAACCCACCAGCAGAGTCAACAGTCAAGAGCAGGTGGGACTTTCCCACATCAGAATTAGTTACTGAGAGAGGGGACAGGGGACAGTGAGCCCTCAGCAAAGACTGAACAGGGTCTAGTCTTCCTCTGGCATTGCTCCTAGTTTGGAGAAGTGCCTGAGTATATGCCCTTTTGCTACACATTTGTAAGCCTTCCTGTATATTGTGAACATAAGAAAACATTGTTTAAAAAGAAGTACTTTGATATCCTCAGATAAAAGAGACCTCTGATACTGAGTACTATTGCTGCTTTTCAGAAAAGACCGTTATTCCTAAGACCTCTCTATACACATTCTAAATAATGAACACATTTTTC